TATTATTACAGTAATCAACTTACGAGCTACAGACTTGCGATTAACAGAGACACGGAGATCCAGGAGATTCGATTTATCGAAAGAGAAATCATGGCTCTTGCAATAATTCACTAATTAATAATATCAATGAATTGACAAATGGTAAATTGTAGTGACAGACTTCCCTTTTGTAATTTTATAATTTTTAACAAAATAATTACTCTATCGATTATAGATGAAAATCAATTTTTATCAATTTTAACGAATTTCATTAATCGTGCAAAATTGCTAAATCGTCCTACGTATTTCACCAACTAACATCAGATATTTCCGCTTTCTTATGTGTTCTTGGAATGCATACAACTATTCTTTCATCGTCAAAAGATTTTAGATGTTTGATCGAAACCATGTATCATCTTCTTTAACCGATAAAACGAATCTCTGCAATGGCGCGGTGAAACGTCGATAAAGCTACTAAACCGTGCAACCAGCGTCTGAAGTCGGCACGAAGGGACTTTCTTGTCGATAAAAGTCACTTTCGTACTCTTCCACCTTCACCGGGTATTCTGTCACGCAGTTTTGAGGCTGGTTCAATGCGGGTGGTGGTTGCACGAAGTTCTCCTGGTAACTGGGCAACTGCAACGGTTCTGCATACTGCTGGTACGAATTGTCTGTGCCACCTTGCTTCAAGCACGTCGGTCCATGGAGATTCAACATGTCCACTAGCCTGCGTCTCTGCGTCTCTAATTCCTGGATCTGTGATTTCAAGTCGTGGTTCTGCGTTTCGAGGATCTCTGACTCCTGCACCAAGGTCACCGTCTTCTCGCGTTTCTTCAACCGACACTTGGTAGCGGCTATCTTGTTCCGCTCGCGTCTTCTTCGGCGTCTCTCCTCGTCCTCTGGTGTTAGCTACAAGAATTTTGGATCTTTAAGAAAGTTTACTAGTCTTGCTATTAATGTTAAGAAACTTTTTTTTATATAGCAGTTTGCAATAGTTCTAGATCATCTAATATTAATACTAATCTGATAATAATGAATAATATTGTATGCTGTCTATTACTATAAATGGTAAATCTTCAGATGTTCCCTTTATGATGTATTTTTTGTAGTTCTAATTCATGCATTTTTTGAAAATACTTAAATAGAGTGTTAAATTATATCTTGATATAAAACATAATAATTTTTATAAAAATAAAAATTACCATTTCTAACCATTTGTCCCTCAAAATGAAACATTTTTATTTGGTAGATAACTTAGAACTTTTACACAATTACAATGTTACATTAATGTAATGTGAAAATAGTTTATTTTATGGTTCAAAATCGTTTAACGTTTGAGTTCTTAATGAGAGCAATAATTGACCGAGAACTGAGTGCAATGAGTGTCCGATCTGACTTGAAAATCCGTGAGAAATCGGTGAAACGGCGACTTACAGCGCGGATCGCCCAACATCATGACTGCTTTATCGTATTAACGAGAACAGTATGTGAAGATTTCTTACTCCACCGCGGTTGTTGTTGCTGCTGGCTTCCTCTTCTTCCTCGTCGTCCGCGCTTCCGTCTTCCTTCTTTGTCTTCTTCCTCATATCATCACCGGTCCCATTGGCTCTCCTTTTTGTCTGCAGCGTCAACTTCAATCCTGTAATAATGTTCAAACGTCAATTAATCAGGTGAATCATTTACTGAAAATTTCTGGAAAATATAGAATATCGTTTACTCTTCAATCGAGCTACAAGCAATACAAGATAAGCAGATCAATTAAATGTTTAATTAAAGATAAGAAATAAGAATATTATATATGAATAACATTAATATGTGATAATCAAATAGAATTGTAAGAATTGAAGAATTTTGTAAAAGACAAATTAAAATTTCCGTTCAAAATAAATCATAACCAAATTAAATTTAAATTACACCAAATATTTTTCTTTCTCAAATCACTATTTTTAAAGATATTAATTAACAAACTGCGGATTTTTACTTTTATGAATGCAGAGATTCGTTTTGTCTGTAATAAGTGTCCTATAACGAATATTCTACTTCAGATATATAAATATATAAAAATATCGTATGCACTTGTCAAATTTGATTGAAAAATCCGCAGGATTTCAATTCTAATTAGTTATCATTATGAGCTCACAAAGGACCTTTTTAAAAAAAAAAAACACAAATCTGCAGACCAAGGAAAAACTGCAAAACAAATATATCGCGTTACCAAAAAAATGTTTGAAAAATCTTCTTATATAAAAAATATAATCCATCTTACGTCGCACCTAGTAAATAGGCTGAAACTTTTGCAAGATAGATGTTACAAGTATTATATAAATACGAGGATCGGCGCTAAATCTCGGATAACCTTGGCTAACTATTGCGAGACTCGCCGGTAAAGAAAGAAGAAGAGCAAGAAATTCGGCACAACAACAGAGGACTCGATAGGATATTATCAAGGCCACCGCCGGATGGATACCTTCTTTAATGAGCTGACTACAGGTGTGCTGAACACTCGGTGGGCTCGGCTCACCGCTGCTAGTCGAGTCTGTACGGTCCCTGCTCTTCTCGTTCGTGTAGCCCTCGAAGGGATTGGTCATGGCGATTAGGGAGTTTACGATTTCCGGTGTCCTTGGTGTGACCTCGGCCGCCGCGACACCGAGAAGACCCGCGGCAGCCGTCGGACTAGGATTCACGTTCACATTCAGGTTGTACATGGTTGGTAGTTTAGATTACCATTTAACCTGGAACAAGAACAGAGATTAAGAGTGCGGATGTGCGGTTGATGGTTCGAGCTGGCTGCGTGTGAATGTGATATCTCTCTTTTGTAGCATACGAGTTTTTGATGGTATTGTTAAGTTCCTCCGAGTCGCGGTGTATATTATAGTCTGTTGAATATGTGGGGAAGCTTGTGATACGACTAGATTGTGTCAAGTGATTATTTATTTGTTCGTTACTTCACAGAGTAGTTTCTAATTATTACCTTGTTATTTTTTTTTACTTTATAGAAAATTTAAAGGCAGAGAAATGCACAGGAAGCACATAATATGTATATGAAAATGTAGAAAATATTTGAGGTATAATAAAACTATTGTAACATTTAATAGGTAAAACGAATCCTTTTAATTAAAGAAAAAAATTTCACTTTGTAGTAGTTCAATTGTAATAATTAACAACAAACAAGAGCAAATGCGAAACAAAATTTCTTTTCTCTCCATGATTAATGAAAATGAACGATAAAATAATTCGAAGCAAGCAGTCTTTGGTAAACGTTATTATGTAGAATTTATCGCAGGATCTTATAGCGTTAACGACTTCACTCGTTCTATAAATAATTATTTCCGTCGGGAACAAAAGAAAACCAGGCTTTTCTCACGTTTGATCGACAAACAAGCTCGTAATTATCCAGTGAAATTTGAAAAATAAAAAAACAGAGGGAATATAAAAAGTAAAAGGAAAAAGAAATAAAACTGTCGATTTATTTTTGATCGAGATATCTCCAGAAAATAGGGAATAGTTCTCGTTAATGAAAACGAAATGAAATCTTTCGCGGTTATGCTCTGTCATGCTATCTGCGAGTCTTGAGGAATTTCGAACGTTTGATAACTGCAACATCCTTGATTGTGGTTTTCCCAAGTACTGAATTAGAAAGACACAAAGGTGGCGAAAACTATGATCTTAAAATATGTATGTTGAAAATTTAACAAACAGTATTTCACCAATGAGGGGGAAATTTGAAATTATCCTCATGAATTGTCGATATTTGGGATCGCATAAGAAATCGCAAATTTAATTAATAATGAATCACGTAAAACTTCTAAAGTGAAAATCAAACGATATTTCGATTTGTATTATTTCTATTAGTTTCTTACAACACACAGTCGAATTTTAAGAGCAATGCTCTGTTCCTGTATCAAAGAATTTATAAAATTTCATTAACTAATTCGAACTTCAATAGCTATTAGTTTCAAGTAAATATAGTTTAACGTTGAAATAAATATCAAATGTATTTATAAAATTCATAATTTTTCCAAATATTTATGTTTATAATATTATGTTTGTAATTATATTTATTCTTACCAGAGGTAAAAAACATGCAATATTGCATTATAGATAAATTGTTTATGCATTTCTGAAAAAATTTGGGCATACAAAAATTTGTAGAATATACGTAACATGAAGAAATATAAATTAACAGGTAATATCAGATAAAGTTGAAACACAATAAAAAGTGAAGCACATATTCTAATATTTAGTAGATGAATGAAATTTCTATTATGTCTATAATATTTAATAAAAGATTATGTCTATAATATAATATTATCATATAAAATTATATATTACAATATATTTAATAAGAAGATTTACTGTATCACGTGATTAATATGATCAATAAATTAATCAAATATTGAATATGAATTTTACAGTTAAAATACACTAAAATTCACGCAATTTAACAATATGTTAATTTCCTTTTAACTTTTAACTGTTTCACCTCGGTAATAGTGCATTAATATGTAGAAACGAATTAACATATTTTCTAGCGTGTTGAGTAACAATTCAATGGTGATTTACTGGAGCTAACTGGATCTCTATTCCTCTTGTTGTGCATTCTTCTTTCCGGGGAACGAGAAGTTTATTGATACGTCCTTGAAAACATGGCTATTGAGCTCGAATGAATACGGCTACAAAGAGGAATTCAAATCAAATCGTGAAACACTGATAACGAAACCGGAAGCTGAAGATGCTTATCGATTTGTTGAAATGGGACCAGTCCTCGATCGATTGTCAAAAGATACCGCGTTTTAAATTTTAATATTCATCGTGTATCATTCTCAAAATTATTAATCTTTAAAATTATTAATCGAAAATCGTGTTTCTAAAATGTAAAAAATTTGTATAATTTTAAACTTGTCTTTCTTACGACACTGTTACGGAATTTACGCAAGTTTCTTTCAATAATTATATATATTTTCTCAAACAATTAAAATATTGCTCATCGTCAAATATAAAACAAATATCCTGCACTTTGAAACATCAAACGTACAAATGAAATTAAGTATCTTCAAATCTTCACTGTGTCAATTTCCAAGAACTTCTACAAGTTTCACAGAAAATTTCGAAGCGAGAGATAACATCTCATCTCTCATATTTTCCGAAAGATCACAGAAACACGAGTAAAATTATCTCTGAATCTCCATCAAATCAACTACCAACTCTGTTCTCCCGCTGAAAATTACAAAAATACAAATAAAATCCTCTCTTGGACGTGAATTTCCAACCAACCAACAACTCGCACGAATCTTACAGGAAATTCAATTGCCTGCAACTCTCAGAATCAACTTGCGAAAACCTCGTCGCAGGAAGCTGCAAACCGAATTCATTCTGCATGAAATTTC